GACAAAACACTCTAAAAATAAATCTCAGGATGAAACCTTCCATCTGTCTCACATCAAAACACCAAACTGTCTCCACAGCCTGTCCATCTGTCTGCCTGGGCTCAGAGATGCTGCTGCATCCCTCCCTCCTGCACAATATGTCACTCTATCATGCATTAATAATAATAATAATAATAATACATTTTATTTATAATGTGCTTTACATTACAGAAGTAATCTCAAAGTGCTACAGAGTATAGGGGACAGGTATAAGGTACACGGCTAGTTAAAAACAGTTAAAATTTCAGGATACTATCAAGTATGGAAAATAAAAGCAGTCCCCAGAAGTAGATAAAACCCATCTAAAAGGTCATTACAGTAGATGCAATCAGTAAGTAAAAACAACACAATAAAGTAAAACACTCAGTAGGTCGTTGTGCACTAGAAAGCCTTATTAAACAAAAAGGTCTTGAGGCCTTTTTTGAAAAGCTCCACAGATTGTGTGGCCCTTAGAAACTCTGGGAGAGATTTCCAAAATTGAGGCGCCACTGCCTTGAAGGACCTGTCTTCCGTAGTGGAGAGTTTAGTCAGTGGTTGGTGCAAGCGGTGTGAAGAGGTGGTAGATCGGAGGGTTCTTGTGGCAGTGTGTGGGGTGAGATGTTCGCTCAGATAGGCAGGAGCAGTTCCATGGATACACTGGTGAGTAAGAAGGCCAATTTTGTACTGAGCTCGATATTGGATGAGCAGCCAATGAAGTGATCTCAGAACTGGAGTGATATGATCGTATTTACGTCTCCTCATCAGGACCCGGGCAGCTGAGTTCTGGTTGTGCTGGAGCTTTTGTATGCTCTTGCCGGGGGCCCCAACGAGGAGGGCATTGCAATAGTCCAACCTGGAGGAGATAAATGCATGGACCAACTTCTCTGCATCTAGCTGGGAAAGAGAGGGACAGAGTTTAGCAATGTTTTTGAGGTGGAGAAAAGAGACCTTGCAGAGGTGGTGGATGTGGGTGTCAAATGTAAGATTTGAATCTAGTCTGATACCAAGATTTGTTACAGTAGAGGAAAGGGGAATGTTATGACCGAAAATGGAAATACTGCTAAGGGAGAGAGACTGTGTTTGATGTGGAGTGCCGATTATGATAGCTTCAGTTTTATTACCGTTTAGTTGAAGAAAATTTGCAGCCATCCATGCCCTCATCTCCTCCAGGCAGACCTGAAGTACAGATGGAAGAGTTTTAGGTGTAGTGGAGTCAATTTTCATGTTCTGTTATGCATCTGCATAACAGTGAAACGATATTTTGTATTTATGGAAAATTTGTCCAAGTGGAAGCATGTAGATGGAGAAAAGGGTTGGCCCAAGAACCGACCCCTGTGGTACTCCACAATTTACAGTGTGGGGGGATGACTGACATTGTCCTAAAGCTACAAATTCCATTCTGCCTGTAAGGTACTCCTGGAACCAATCTAGTGTGGTTCCCGAAAGGCCAACCATAGTCTGGAGTCGATTTAGTAAGATGGTATGGTCCACAGTGTCAAACACCGCTGATAGATCCAGTAGGAGGAGAAGAGATGGTGAGCCCTGATCCACAGTTAGAAGTAAATCATTCATAACACGGACCAGGGCAGTTTCTGTGCTGTGGGCTGAACAGAAACCGGACTGGAATTTTTCATACAGATTATGAGTATTGAGATGATTGTGGAGTTGGTGTGCTACAGTTTTTTCCAGTATTTTAGCTAAGAACGGTATGTTAGAGATGGGTCTGTAATGGGACAAGATATCAGGGTTTAGAGAGGGCTTTTTCAGACGGGGACGAATTATTGCAGTTTTGAGGGCTGAGGGAACCTGAACTGAGTGTAATGACTGGTTTATAATTGTAGTGATTAATGGACTGACGACTGTAATATTTGATTTTAAAAGTTGTGTCGGGAGAGGGTCAAGGGGGCAGGTTGAGGTATTCAATAATCCTGATGTAAACTGTGGGATTCTTGTGTCTCACAAATCCCTAACTATTCTACTGAGCTGTCTGGGAAGATAAAAACAGGCTGAAACTTTTTTCTCTCTATTTACTCCATCATTAAATGTTATAGGAGCTCATTGAATAAGATAGGATATGATGTAATAATAATATAAAACAATTTTGTTTGAAATTTAGTAAGGAGGTGGAAAATCTGGAGGGTTTATGTAGAGGAGAAAACCTCTGGATCAATGTGAAGAACACAAAGACATGATCAGGAACGTCCTCCTCTACACAGGAGGGACAGTGGTGAAAACGGTCTCCAGCTTTAGTTACCTGAGCTTCCACACGTCAAATGACCTCTCCTGGAACCACAACACCTCCAGCCTGTCTATGAAGGCACACCAGTGCATCTACCTCCTCAGGAGAATGAAGCATGCTGGACTTCGGAGCTCAGTCCTGACATCCTTTTGTTAACTGTGGAGAGTTTCCTGTTCTCCTGCATAACTGTCTGGCATGGCAGCTGCCCTGTAGTAGAGAAGGCTCTACAGAGAGCTGTGAAAGCTGCACAGAGGACCGGTTGGATGCATCTTATTCACCACCACAAATATCCACACCTCCAGAAGCAGGAAAAGGACCTCCTGCATTGTGAAGGGCCGCACCCACCCTGCTTGTCCCTCTCCCTTCGGGCTGGGGCTGCAGAGCTTTAGGAGCAGGAACCACAAATTGAAGAACAGCTTTATCCCAAAGCTGTGAGACTGTAAATATTATGGCTTTGGGACCTTTATTCAGATCTTTTGTTTGTTATAATAATATAGCATGAGTTGATTATGACTAACACTCCAACACTTGCAGAATTTTTACCCAAACCTGAGCCCAGTGCTGCATGACTCATGTCTGCACTTTATTCCATGACTATGCAATAATAGTTTTATGTGTCTTTCATGTAAAATGCATCAGTCTAACGTGCTGAAACTGTGAACTTTCCATTTTTTTGCAACACCTATCTCCACTCAAACATCTAAACAACTATCAGCAGGTAAGTATGTGCTACAGAGCCATCCAACAGTGGATATTAAATAGTTTTTGATAGATCTGGGCACTCCTTTCTAAATCATCCATAGCAGAAGTTGATCGGATAATCCAAACTTATTGCTCTGTGATCTGTTCTTTCTGCTGATCAAAGACCTTTTTAAGTGATTATCATTAAGAGCAAGACTAGCAGCAACTGCCTGTTATGAAATAAAACGTGATAAACTCACTTCTAGAGGCTACACGTGCTCCTACTGATAAGCACAGTCCATGCTAGTCTTTCATCTGATCCTTCAGTGAGAAAGAAGAGACTCATTCATCAGCCTCACCAAGAAAACACACACTTTAACGGGATGTGTTTTCTCAATAAATCAGTGAAATGAGAAGTAAAACACTGTTTAACACTTATTTAAAGCCATAAACTTGATGTAGAGTTTTTTTTTCATGTCTCAAAAGATAAATGTCATCATAAATGTCCGTTGAGGGGTAACTACAACCCTCAGTTAAGCCTTCATCTCACTTAAACTCATTATTACTCTTTAAACCTCCCACTTAGGACCGCATTTCCCTCAGACAACGTAATCATGTTCCGAGCTTATTTCCATGAATGAAAACAGATGAGTTTTGAAAACCTTTAAGATAAAACCAGCAGGCATGGATCATTTACTCTGTCAGGGGTTAATTCCTTCAGTCACTGAATGACTTGGCTTCGAGTCAGTGGCTCGAAAACCAGCATCACGAAAAATTATTAAGAAAAAAGTTCTTGAGAGTCGGTTTAGTTTTCCAAGAAACTGCAGCCTGATCTTTGGAACTCGAATTTACTCAGTGAATGCAATACATGGAAAAAGGATGAATTTGCTAAGAAGCTGCAAAAAAATTAATTGTTTTACTCTTTCAGCTCCTAGCCAAGCTAAATAAATAAAAATCACGAGTAAGTGATGAAATAAAACTCTTCTTCCTTGAATAAACACATTTATTTCCAGTTCGGTTAACCAGTACACATGTTTTAGATGTTTTTCATCCTCCTGTGGATTAATAGAGATAACACATGGAATAGGACATCCAGGGCTCTTAAAATAACTGGCTAATCTTATCACTAATGCACCTTCAAAGTTAAAACACGCCGATAAGGCAAGCCCATGAATCAGAGGTCAACAAAATCCACCAGTGAGTTGTTAAGATCTTTAACTTTGCTTCTAAGTTCTTTTTCTAATTTTATGTTTAGTTACTGTGAGGTAAAGCTATGACGGAGTTGTTGTAAATGATGGGACTACACCAAACTGAAACCTCCGTCTTCACTCTGTCTGTAGAGAGAACTTTGCTCCGTCCCTCCTTAACAGTGTCCGGTGTCGTATCTTAACGTTTCCAAAAGGACAGAACCCACAGAGGAGCCTCAACGGACAAACTCTCAGGAAAAAAAACAGGATTTCTTGTGCTTCTGCCCTGATTTGTGTTTTTTGGCTGCAGGAATTTGATTGAAGCCTGCAAAAGATTTTATTAGATATCCAGACACCATTTATGATCTCCTGAGGAAACATACTTTTCATTTAGCAATAATAAGATCTAGATATGTTTTTGTGATCCTGTTGATCTTTGGAGTTTTCTGCTTCCTGTGAACTGGACAAAGCAACAGAAGACAGCTGATCATGCAACACCAAACTTGCATCGTTCTTCCTGTGGCTTCAGTGAAATCCTGAACATAGTAAGAAATTATACTGAGAAGACACCAAGGTAAATATTCTCAAACATTTAAAGAAAATCTACATTTTCCTTCTTTTGACAGAGTCTTGCATTAATCTGAAACTGCAGGAGTCACGGTGCATTATTTACCATGTTACTTTTGCTTAAACCAGACTTTTTCATAATTTTTGTCTTTAGGCTTTATAAATGTTGTCAGTTTGCTTCTTGTGTGTTCAGAGAGTTGTTTTAGTTTATTTTAAACCACTCACTACCTGACCATTTGGTTAAACTCTTTTGTTCAAATCACATTTTTCATTTACGTAGGTCTGCCATCGTGACGTGACATTATTGTGGTGTGATTGAGTCATGGAGGAGAGGAGGCGGATGAACTACACGGTCCAGAGGGAGATCCTGGATGAAGGAGAGCTGGATGACATTGCAAAAAAGTCTGACTTCAAACCATCTTTCTGTGACAAGTTGGCAAAGTCAGCGAGGTAAGAACAGTTATAACATGTTATCCAGTAATGTTAATCAAAAATCACCCTCTGCTACAAAATGAAAAATAATTGTTGCCTTAGATGTTTTATTTGAGCAGAATGAATGTTAATATGCGCATGACTGAGGTATGTTTACTGCAGTGAAACGTTTTTGTCAGAATTTCCAGTTTTTAGAGACGTCTTTGCTCCAGTGCAGAACGTCCTGTTATGAAAGGGACATTTAGGCCATTTTGAAGTACATCTCTGTGTAAAAATAATAAATAAATACTAACGTATCCACTGTTGATAACTCCCTGGTGGACTCTGTTCCGGGAAACTGCTGATAATCTTTTGAAGTGCAGCCAACTGCTGCCGTCCTAAAGCTCGTGCAATTTTATTTTATAAACCTTTCCATCTTCACAAGTTCTGTATGGCACGGTTATTTCCGCTGGATTTGATCCCACCAAGAGTTCTTGTGAATCACCACAGAACTCCGTGTGAGTAGAATTGTAGTGAAAACTCTAAAATAACCAAATATGAAAGAAGAAAATAAAACTTAACAGTGGGTAATGAAGGTAATAAAGAATAATAGCAGTTAATGGTGGCTGAATTTAGTAAAATATAGGTTAAAAGTTGCCGAACAAAGAAACATTTTATCTTAAAGTGGCCAGATAAAGGAAAAATGATGGTTAGATGTGGATAAAACAAGAGAAAGTAAGGGTAAAAAGTAGCAATAGAAAGGAAAAATATGTTAAAAGTGGCTAAACAGAAAAAATAAAAGATAAAAGTAGCTGAATAAAGGAAAATAAAGGTTAAAAGTAGTAAAGTAAGTGAAAGAATGCTGAAAGTGGCAAAAAAATAGGAAATAAAGAAAATAAAGGTGCATCAAGACAAGAAAACAATGTATTTGTCTTGTTTGGGTTCAGGTGTTAGGCCCAGGACGTGTAGAATCAGTCACGACACAAGAGATTAAAATTTAACAGGGATTTATTAATGTAAACCAAGGGAGCACCACAATGTGTGGTGAGGTGGATGGGTCTCCGGCTCGAGAGGCTCTGGAAGACAGAGGACAGTTATCTGTTGATGGGGAGAAGATGCAGACTGAGAACTGGGGCTTGCAGTAGCTTTGAGATGGAGAGGGGAAGCAGATCTGAGGTGATAGTCGTAGGAAGGGCTCGAAGGTAGGGAACAGTTGCAAGGACTCAAGAGGCGGTGTTCAGGTATTCCAGGCAGGGTGAGTGGTGGGAGAGCAGAGCAGATAGGTGGCAGGCAGATGTGAACTCCAGAGTAGATCCTGGAGGGTAATGTTGGTTTGGAGAAGATGGTCAGGATACCCAATGTGAGTACATCTTTTCTAAATGTCCTCTAATGTAATTTTCTTTCTCTCTGACTGGAACTGAAACTCAGGTGTTCAGGTCCCAAGGCGAAGAGCTGCCTGCTGAGAACTGTTCCTGTAGCATCATGGCTGCCTCGTTACTCCTTCAAACAAGACGCGCTGGGCGATCTGATCTCGGGCATCAGCGTGGGGATCATGCAGCTGCCACAGGGTGAGAATCAGGACAGGTCTAAACTGTGCTGCACAAAATCCTTTGTCATCTAACACAATTAGACTTAACGACATCAACGACCCCTTGGGGGTAGAGAGGAGGGTTATTCATAGGTAGTTTCAGCTCGTTAAGCAATAGCAGACAGTTACAGTTTATAAGCTCATCTGTCTCATATTCAGGGTCAGGGTTGAGGTCCTGCTCTAAGTGGAGGAGTATAAGTATCTCGGGGTCTTGTTCATGAGTGAGGAAAAGATGGAGCGCGAAATCGACAGGCAGATTGGTGCTGCGTCTGCAGCAATGTGGGTGTCGTACCGATCTGCCGTGGTGAAAAGAGAGCTGAGCCAGAAGGCAAAACTACCCTCACCTATGGCCACAAGCTTTGGGTAGGACGAAAGGAATCATTTTGCCGATCCAAGCGGCCAAAATGAGATTTCTCCGCAGGGGGGCTGGGCTCTCCCTCAAAGATAGGGTGAGAAGTTTGGTGATCCTGGAGGGGCTTGAAGTAGACTCGCTGCTCCTCCACATCGAGAGAAACCAGTTGAGGTGGACTGGGCATCTAGTTAGAATGTCTCCTGGACACCTCCCTGGTGAGGTTTTCCAGGCACGTCCAACCGGAAGAAGACCTAAAGGAAAACTCAGGACACGCTGGAGGGACCATGTCTCTCGGCTGACCAGGGAACACCTTGGGATTCCCTTGGAGGAGCTGCCCCAAGTGGCTGGGGACAGGGAAGTCTGGGCCTCCCTGCTTAGGCTACTGCCCCTACGACCCGACCCCAGATGACCAGTGAAAAATGGATGGATGGATATCTCATATTTCTATCAGAATTGAGAAAGCTCCTCGGATGAGAAGTGAAATGTCTTCAAGAGACCAAAGAAGTTCAGTTGACTTCAATTGAACTCTGTTCGATGGTTTTAATCTATTTACATCCCGAAATTATAGAAAATCTTATTCATTCCATGGTTGATTTTAGGTATGGCCTATGCTTTGCTGGCATCTGTTCCTCCAGTCTTTGGTTTATACTCCTCTTTCTACCCGGTCCTCATCTACTTCATCTTTGGGACATCCAAGCACATCTCAATCGGTAGGAATTTTATCCTTTGTCTGGTTTGCCATGAAGTCGGTAATTACCTAACAGTTGTTACAGATTATGACTTGTCCAAAACTTTTGAAGCTGATGAAGTTGTTAAGCTCCAGTGAAATACTCACTTTCCTGATAGCTGGCCATTATGACTTGCTTCCTAATTCAGGAACATATGCAGTGATGAGCGTGATGATCGGAGGAGTGACGGAGCGAATAGCTCCAGACTCAAATTTTATGATATGGGACAATGTGACCAACTCCAGCATCATTGACACCGTTGCTCGTGATGCAGAGAGGGTCCGAGCGGCGGCAGCTGTCACATTTATGTCCGGACTGTTTCAGGTAGGAATTAAACCACAGGAAATCAACAAATCTCTTAGACAAAACATCTTCTGTTAGTTTTTATTTGTAAAAGTGGACCTCTAAATGAACTAACACCATTGTAAACTCAGACTTAAATGCGTTTTTTGAACAGGATATAATAGTTACTGATTATCTTCCCACACAAAGTTGAGCCTCTTTATCACTTTTAACGCGTGTTGATGCAAAGGTCCAGGTTAACTTGAGTTTCTTCATCAATCCAGGTTTAACGGTCTGATTGTTTTAGATAACTTTGGCATGTAAAGGTTTTACTACACCTGGTCAACATGACAGGTTAAAAGTTAAAGGACCATAGTTGTCAGACACTGGCGTGTGGGTGAAAATTGAGTTCCGCATTTGATCCAACCCCATGGGGAGCGGTGAGCTGCAGATCCCGTTGTTGATTTGGTTTAACCCCCCAATCCAACCTCTTAAAGCTGAGTGTCAAGGAGGGAGTAATTGGGTTCTTTTTATTTTTTAAGTCTTTGGTATGACCCAACTGGGATTTGAACCCCAATCTACCAGTCTCAGGGTGGGCATTCTACCTCTAGGCAACTGAGCTGGTTCTAACAATTAATAATTTGGGAAACTTGCATGACCCAATATGAAATTAAGGTTAATAAAATAACTTAGATCAGAAAATCTTCAGTTTTCCTAAAATTGGTTGAAGCAAAAATGAATACACCCCACAACAAAAACTACTACCGTGATTTTCAAGGGCAGCACCAGGTCTAATAGTCATGGAATGAACACGCTGGCGACATGTTGCAACATCTATCTTTTCCATTCTTCAAGAATAACCTGTTTTAGAGCCTGGATGCTGGATGGAGAGCGATGCTCAACTTGATGCTTCAGAATTCCTCACGGGTGTTGGATTGGGTTCAGATCAGGAGACACACTTGGCCATTCAATCACCTTCACCCTGTTCTTCTGCAGAAATGCAACAGTGGCTTTAGATGTGTGTTTTGGATCGTTGTCGTTTTGGAAAAGTGCACGACGACCAAGTGATGGCAGCATCTTCTCCTTCAGTATAGAGCAGTACGTTGTTGAGTTCATGATATCATCAATGAAATGCAGCTCCCCAACACCAGCAGCACTCACGCAGCCCCACATAAAGACACCACCACCACCGTGTTTCACTGTAGGCACCATACATTTCTCTTTGAAATCCTCACCTTTACAATGCCATTCAGTATTGAAACCATTAGTTCCAAAAACAGAGATCTTTGTGTCATCACTCCAGAGTCTAGTCCCAGCAGTATCCACCTCTTTCAGCATGGGCCCTAGCAAATCCTAGAAGTGCTTTTTAGAGCATGGGCTTTAGGAGAGGCTTCCTTCGTGGAAGATACCCATGCATGTCGTTCCTCTGCGGTGTGTGCCGTATGGTGTCATGGGAAAGGTCACTCCAGTTTGGCTTTCTACAGCTTTCCCACACAAAGTTGAGCCTCTTTATCACCTTTAAGGCGTGTTGATGCAAAGGTCCAGGTTAACTTGAGTTTCTTCATCAATCCAGGTTTAACGGTCTGATTGTTTTAGATAACTTTGGCATGTAAAGGTTTTACTAAACCTGGTCAGCGTGACAGGTTAAAAGTTAAAGGACCATAGTTGTCAGACACTGGCGTGTGGGTGAAAATTGAGCTCCGCATTCGACCCAACCCCATGCTGCAGATCCCGTTGTTGATTTAGTTTAACCCCCCAATCCAACCCCTTAAAGCTGAGTGTCAAGGAGGGAGGCACTGGGTCCTTTTTATTTTTTAAGTCTTTGGTATGACCCAACTGGGATTTGAACCCCAAATTTTAGTGATGGGCTTTAGAAGAGGCTTCCTTCATGGAAGATACCCACGCATGTCGTTCCTCTGCGGTGTGTGTCGTATGGTGTCACGGGAAAGGTCACTCCAGTTTGGCTTTCTACAGCTTTAGCTAACTGCAGTGAACTTTCATGGTGATTTTTTATTTTTTCAAATTTTCTCATCAGAAGACGCTTCTGTCAAGATGTTAACTTCTGTGGATGGCCTGGACGTCTCTAGAAGATGGTTGCACTTCCATCTTTCTTAAAAATTTGAATCACTTTGCTACAGTATAAAGCTTTGCTGATCTTCTTGTAGCCCTCACCTTTTTTGTCTGAAAAAATTATTTCCTTTCTCAGATTTTGACATTTTCTTTGTTAAGTAATGTTCTTTTATAGCCACCTGTCTGCTGGACACCTCTTAAATAAATCATTAGACTCACCTGTAGTTGGATGCCTGTTAATTAGAATTTTGTAGTCTTACGTGTGGCTTTTCTCCTCAGACTGTAACTGGGGTGTACTCATTTTTGCAACATGTGCTTGAATGGATTTGTTAGGAAAATCACTTTTTTGTGTGCAAATTAACAAATCTTGTTTGCAATCAATGGATTAGTGAAAGTATTTTTAGTATGGCATCTCATAGAAAATGTTAATTCTGAAAGGAAACTAAGGGCTTTCTGACAAATGTAGTGGCGTGTACTCATTTAGGCTGAGCACTGTAAATTTCCACTCATCATGCAATATACACACAAAAAATTTGGTTTAACTGAGAATTTAAGAGTTTAACTGCAATTTTTCATGCTGTGATACTAACTTGATATTTAAAAGCAGTGCATACATGTTTACTGAAAATTTACGTCAAACATTTACTATGCTTTTGTTGTGTGGTGCAATCCAAACTCTGTCGTCTGGCTTCTACTATCGTAATAAATGATATTGAATTTTATTATATTGTATGGTTTTGCCAGATTCTTACCAGTACACACCCCTATGTGATGTCCATTCACCTCTGATGTTTTGTGTGGTTAGATTCTGCTCGGCGTGGTCCAGTTTGGCTTTGTGGTGACCTACCTGTCTGAGCCACTTGTTCGAGGTTACACCACCGGAGCCGCCATCCACGTCATTGTCTCCCAGCTCAAATATACCTTTGGTATCAGCCCTCTGAGATACAGCGGACCTCTCTCCTTAATTTATGTAAGAACGATGTGCTCAATTTTCTAACTCGGATCTCAAATGGGATCCTTTATTCCTGCTGAGTGATTATCTTAATAAGGCAATGCAACAGAAAAGAGTCAAAAGTCGGTGTTGCCGATGATCATTCCCAGACTTGAAAAGTAATCGGTCATCGTTTAAACTGATCTGTAAAGACTTTTTTGAATCTGGTTTTGCTTAACAGGTCTGTAAAAACATTTCAGACATCAACTATTAACAATCTATGGAAAACTGTGGAAACCCATTCCTGCCTCTGATTTTAAAAATTATTTGTATCTCATAATTGTGAGATGGTTTCTGCTAACTTTGAGATAGCTTAGTCATTACAAATTACGTTAAACTTTTTTTTATCAGAGTTGCAGGAACAGGCTTCTGTAATAGCCTAAAACATCATAAAACATCATTTTAAGATCCTTTTCATGTTTGCATCCTCAGTAACATTTATTTACTTTATTATTTCTTTTTTACTTCCTCTCAGACTGTGCTGGAGGTGTGCCATCTCCTCCCAAAGACAAATATTGGCACGTTAGTTGTCAGCATTGTCTCCATCGTTGGCCTCATTCTTGCTAAGGAGCTTAATACATACCTGAGTAAAAAGCTACCTGTTCCTATACCTGTGGAGCTGATCGCTGTGAGTACACAGTATCTCTTAAACAAACTTAAACGTGTGGGGAATTAAATGAATATTTCATCTGTTTTCCAGATTATCATTGCCACAGTAATCTCTTGGCAAGTTAATTTAGAGATGAAGTATGGAGTGGATGTGGTGGGAGAGATTCCCTCAGGGTGAGAAAGCCAGAGTGACACATATCTTTATGTGTGATAAATAATGATTGTAACGACTCTCCCGCTCTGCTGCTGTCTTGTTTTACATCAGCCTTCAGCCTCCTGTTGTCCCGGCCGTGTCTTTGTTCAGCCAGGTGATCGGGGATGCCTTCGCTCTGTCTGTGGTTGGTTATGGCATTGCCATCTCTCTGGGACGAATATTTGCTCTAAAATACGGCTACAAGGTGGACAGCAACCAGGTACTGAGAAGGATTGGGGTAACATTTTATTACTGCATGAACTGTTATGAAATATATGTTTTCTTTGTGATTTAGGAGTTAATCGCCCTTGGTTTAAGCAACTCCATCGGTGGAATTTTTCAGTGTTTTGCCATCAGCTGTTCCATGTCTCGTTCGTTGGTTCAAGAGAGCTCGGGAGGAAAAACTCAGGTCAGTAAAATGGTGAAATGGTAAATGGCCTGTATTTCTATAACGCCATTTAAGGGTTCTACAGCCCCCCAAGGCACTTCACAACACCATCAGTCATTCACCCATTCACGCACACATTCACACGCTGGTGATGATGAGCTACAGTGTAGCCACAGCTGCCTCAGGTCACACTAGCGCCACCAGTCCTTCTGACCACCACCTTCAGACAAGGCAGGTTTAATGTCTTGCCCAAGGACACAACAGCACCATTCTCCGGCAGGAGCCGGGATTGAGCCTTCAACCTTCCGATTGCTGGACAACCTGCTCTACCTCCCGAGCTACTGCAGCCCCTGCCTGTGTAAACAAAAGTACCTTTTTAAAGCTGCCTCGTTTTCTGTAGTGTGAATCAAAATGATTCCATGTAACCTGGCATGGTTTGTTGCCAACTGACCTGAGGAAGTGTTTATTTTGTTACATTCTGAGAAAATTAGTTAAATTTTCAGATAATTTTTTTTCATATTATTATAAATCCACACTTAAAATAATAAGTAAACAGGAATAGGTATTTTTGAGTTGGAGTCAATAATGCATACAAAGTAAAATGCCACAGATGTTTCCTGATGTTGACTCCTTTTATAAGTTATGCCTCCATCATTAATCTCTTTAATGGTTTCTTTTTCTTCAAAGCCTTCCTCTGACCTGTCTCCCGTGATATTCATCCATTCACCGTGTGCCTGTTCCCTCTCACTTCCCTGCAGGTTGCTGGGGCTTTATCAGCAGTTGTTATACTTTTCATCACTCTCTGGATTGGAAGGCTCTTTGAAGAGCTGCCCAAGGTACTGTGTGTGTATGTGTGTGTGTGTATGTGTGTGTGTGCGTGCATGGGTGTGTGCATGTGTGTGTGTTTCTGATCATTTTTAGGTGCGTTCATGAACATGTGTTTCAGATTGAACAGGAATGTGCATGAAATTCCCCAAAGTCAAGAGAAAAAAACTTCACAGCTGAAGTTCTGCTGTTATTATCTCAAAGTGATTCGTGCAAACTCTACACTGCCTTTAGTTTTACATTTATTGATCATTCTAGGAAAAAGTACAATTGTAACCATGTGACTTGCTGAACTGGAAGCTTGCAAAGTTCTCATGCAACATAAATGTGAAAAGGAAACGTTTCAGTCAGATGTAAAATGGGTTTATATAATGTGATTAAAGCTTTTTGTCATTACATTTCTCCATGCATTGTGCCTCTCGAACTTTAAATAATTTTCTTACCTTCTGGTTGATTTTTCAGGCCGTGCTGGCTGCCATCATCTTGGTTAATCTTCATGGCATGATGAAGCAGTTCTTGGACATCCCTGCTCTGTGGAGAAGCAACAAAATAGACATGGTGAGCCTCAGAGAAAATCCTCTATAATTGGGTGAAGAGGTCTAGAGGCTAACGCTGAGGTCAAGGTCAAGGTCACATTTATTTCTAAAGCACACTTATTATTGCTTTCGCAACCCAAAGTGCTGCACAACACAGAAGATAAAATCGCAAACAAGTATAACTAAAAACCATAAAACCATAAAAATCAGCAAGTTAGGATAAAAACAGCATTACATCATACAATTATAAAATCAATAAAAATGAGAAAGAATGACAATGACAAAATAGAATCATCCTACATAAAAGTCAGGTTGAATAAATGAGTTTTAAGCAAGGACTTAAAAACATCCAGACTTTGTGAGGTCCTGATCTGCAGAGGAAGACTGTTCCAGAGTGTAGGACCGGCCACAGAAAAAGCCCTATCTCCTCTCATCTTTAGGCAAGCCTTTGGAACTGATAATAAAAACTGTGAGCCCGACCACAAATTCCTGGTAGGATTGTTGATTGACAATAAATCATCTGTATAAAGAGGGGCCAGACCATAAAGTGATTTATAAACAAAAAGCAACAATTTAAACTGAATCCTGTAATGCACTGGGAGCCAGTGAAGGGAAGTAAGCACTGGAGAGATGTGATCATGCTTCCTTGTACCTGTTAAAAGGCGGGCTGCTGCATTTTGAACCAGTTGCAAGCGGTTTAAGGACGAATGCCCTAATCCGTAGTACAGGGAATTGCAGTAATCTAGTCAACAGGAGACAAAGAGATGAATAACATGTTCAAAGACAGTTTCCGGCAAATAGCACTTAACCTTTGCAAGTTGCCTCAAGTGATAAAAACCAGACTGGACCACTGCACTTATCTGTCTGTCCAATTTAAACGAACCATCCATAAAAAAAAACAGGTTTTTCACATAAGGCTTTACAAAATCCGAAAGGGAACCAAGTGGGCTCACCGCACCCTTCAACAGGTCTCCACTGCCAAAAACTAAAATCTCTGTCTTCGGGTCATTCAATTTCATAAAATTAATTGACATTCATTGCTTCAAATCAGCTAAGCAGACCATTAAGGAAACAGCTGAATCCGGGATGAGTGAGCGATATATCTGAAGGTCATCAGCAAAGCAATGAAAAGTAATGTTGTGTCTGGCGAAGATAGAGGACAATGGTAAAATATACAGTGAGAAACTTGTTGGCCCTAAAATGGAACCTTGTGGAACACCACAAGTCACAGGTGCTGGTGGTGATGTAAAAGTTCCCAAGTTCACAGAAAAAGACTTGTCCTGTAGATAAGACTGAAACCAATCAAGCACTGTGCCCCTTATACCAACACAAGACTCTAACCGAGACAACAGAATATCATGATCAATGGTGTCAAAAGCAGCAGATAATTCTAGCAGCCTTAAAGCAGCTGATTTGCCAGAATCATTGATCATTAATAAATCATTCACCACTCGTAGAAGTGCACTTTCAGTGCTGTGCCGTGCTTTAAACCCCGACTGAAATTTGTCTGAAATGTGATGTATGGACAGAAAATCCTGTAGCTGTGCATGAACAACTTTCTCCAGAACTTTTGATAAGAAACTAAGTTTGGAAATAGGTCTGTAATTAGATAGGCAAGTTGCATCCAGGCTTGGCTTCATTAAAAGGGGATTCACTATAGCCTGTTTAAAACACAGCGGAACACACCCTGAGAGAAGGGAACAGTTCATTAGTCTGTGCACAGCTGAAGCAACACTGTCAAAGGCCTGCTTAAACAAACGAGGTGGAATAACATCAAGTGGACAGACTGAAGGTTTTAAACGATGGACAATATCTGATAACTCCTCCAAGGAGAAAGGTTGAAACTGACACCAAGATGATAAACAATCTGGATAAGAACTTGGATCTACGATAGAGGATGTTAAAATGGAAGATCTAATCTGTGAAATATTTTCGACAATAAAGGACAAAAAGCGGTCACATAATTTTTGAGAAGGTATACAAGTACTTCCAATGCTGGGGTTCACAATACTGTTAAAAGCACTAAATAAAACCTGCGGTCTGTGACTATTGGTGGAAACAAGGTTGCACATGAACTCAGATTTTGCCTGTTTCACACAGTTCTGATAAACAGTCAGGCAGTCTCACAGTGCAAGTAGAGACACATGTAGCTTGTCCTTCTTCCACTTCCTTTCAGCACGCCTGCACGCCCGTCTACAGGCACGTGTGGTTTCATTCAGCCATGGCTCCAGAATTTTTTTTTTTATTATACCGCACAGCTTTCAGGGAAGCCACATTATCAAGGATGTTTAAGCAAGTAGAATTTAAAAAATCCGCTAAGTCGTTGACAGAAGTTGAGTCCATAAAATCAACAGCCGAGAATTCAGCAGAAAAATCAGAGACAGTCACGTCATTAAAAAATCTTCTCTGTCCTTGCATTGCAGTTCTCTCCACTGGGCCGTGTAATTCCAATGTAAAATGGACTGGAAAATGGTCAGAAACACCCTGATCGAGAATGTTTGTAATGTTTATACCTAAACCATGCGACAAAACTAAATCCAGCGTATGACCTTTTTCATGAGTTGGACCAGTAACCCACTGAACTACGTTAAATGAGTCAATGATGTTTAAAAACTCCTTAACCAAGGGTGTGGCCTCACAACATAAATGAATATTAAAATCGCCAATAATCAAAAACACATCATACTCGAGAGCAACTCCGGCCACAAAATCAGAGAACTCTCTAATAAAGTTATTGTTAAATTTGGGAGGGCGGTAGATAAGGGCACAAAGCACTGTCGGAGGCAGCCTACCATGTGAGCCCCTGGATGCACGACACGGACGCGGGCAGCCCGGAGGAGACCTCTCAAGAGAGTGTCCACACCGGCAGCCGCTCCCGCAATCGCGCAGGGCTCGGCAGAGACGACCGCCCCCTCCGTCCCCACCCACCGGCGCCCTCGGAGGAGCATCGGGGGCGGAGAATGAAGGGAGGATGACGGCTGAGTCGAGAGGATCGGAGGACAACGGCAGCACCGGGCCCAACCAGGGTCCGCCACGACGGGCATCTTGTTGTCTACACTCCCTGGATCCACGTTTCACACAAGAACATGATTCCCAGCTGATGCATTTTAAAAAAGTCATTTAGAATAAAAGTTTTATTTACCAGGGATCTGGAATTGAGCAGACACATCTTAATTGTAGAACCCTTTGCATCTGCTTGGAATCTGGGAAAGGAGCGGAGATTCGAAAAGATCACGCCGCGTCTCCCGTGACGTGGCTTCCTCGGCCGAAAAGCTCCCGTCATCTGATACGACGGTGATGCCCGGTCTCCTAGGAAGATCGGCTGGATCCATCGACGGCGTAATTTTCCGGACAATCCTCCGCATGACCGCTGATAAGCTCTAATTCTGACAAGCACACCTGAGCGCCGTCCTCTTTTCTGAGGCCTCCGCCAGAGAGCCTGCGACCGAAGGAGGAGAGGCGGGAGCGGTTCAGATGACAGGTGGAGGAGGGAGGTTTGATGAGCATCCTCCCAGTAAAAAATTATTCCAAAAAAGCTCGTAGGATTCCTTAATTTCAAAAAGAGTCTGGCGATCATAAACGAGAAGGCCAGAAACACTATGAAAAGACGCCAAAAACACATTCAGAACATATAAAAGCAGCAAGAATCTGAAGGCTGAAAGATGTGTCGCCGTGCCCACTGCTGGCGCCGCCATCTTCCGACCATGATAACCCATTGTTAGCTGCTGAGCTAACAATGCTTATGGTAAATTAGAAACAAATAGTCGGGTCTAAGAATATCTCAAGTTACTTTTTCAGTTTGCAATAATGCAATATCAAAGTGAAACATATTTATCTACTTATCAACTTTACTGTGTATGACTCGTCTCGGCTTGAGCACTGGAATCTGCTGGCGCTCATCCATGAATAGCGTTTGGAAAATGGGCTGCAGTACCCACAATTGACCACAGAATGTCACCATTTCTCTGACAGAAACACCAAAATTCAGTGTTTTTGGTAGCAACAAAATGATTTTGTTCATGTTGTAAAAGCTGTTTAAATCTGCTCCAGTTTCTCTTTTTAACCATCATAGTCAAAACTTATATAATTTTTTTGCACCAAATATTAAAGGTCCAAACACTAGAATTGAAAATGCAAATGGTGTCTTGTGTTGTTTTACCGCTCTGCTTCAATGTGTTTCTCCAGCTGGTCTGGATAGCTACGTTCCTCCTGACCGTGGTGTTGAACCCGGATCTGGGTCTTGCCGCCTCCATTGCTTTTTCCATGCTCACCGTCATCTTCAGGACACAGCTGTACGTTCCCACACACACACACACACACACACACACACACACACACACACACACACACACACACACACACACACACACACACACACACACACACACACATACACACACACACACACACACACACATACACACACACACACACACACACACATGCATACACACACACACACACACATACACTCACACACACATACACTCACACACACACACACACACACACACACACACACACACACACATACACACACACACACACACACACACACACACACACACACACACATACACACACACACACACACACACACACACACACACACACACACACACACACACACACATGCATACACACACACACACACACACACATACACTCACACACACATACACTCACACACACACACACACACACACACACACACACACATGCACACATGCATACACACACACACATGCACATGCACACACACACATGCATACACGCACACACACACACACATACTCGTCTAGTTTTTGTTGTGAGGACTGTTATTGACTTCCATTCATTTTAGTGACTGGACTGTGCCTAACCCTAACCCTAACCCTAACTCTAACCATAACCAGTCTATTGCTAACCCTAACATTATCTAAAACATAATTCACACCAAACTTCTAAAACTAACGAGTATAGCTCTGTAACACTGTACCGAAGTGAGGAACAGCAAAATGTCCTCACTACTTGCTACTGATGTCCTCAGTTTGCAGGTAAAAAACTTGTCATTGGTCCTCCCTCACTTGATGTATAGACAAGTACATTCACACACACATACACACACGCACACATGCATTCACACAACATAATGTGTCATAATTCATTTTTTTTCTTATTTGGATTTTAAATTTTAAAAGCATCAAACCTTCTTTTTAAATACTTTTTTCCATAAAGTAGTAAAATTGAATGCATCAGCCGTTGTTTTGTTTTATATTTCAGACCCAAGTATTCGTTGTTAGGACAGGTGGAAGACACCGATATTTACAAGCCAGTGGAGGAATATGACCAGGTATTTAACACAAACTCAAAGAGCTTCTGCTCTGGAGATGAACTTTTAACTACGCAGCTTCTCGTACCAAATGTAGCCGACATACATACCATTCTGCTTAATGTCTTTGATGTCCCTCGACTTTCTGCTGCATTATTAATACTTGTCTCTTCCTTATTTAAAATTCATCACTATTTTAAAATTCAAGCAGTTATGTAATCAGGCACAAGGAGAAACACTGACAAGAGTACAGCAGGCAATAAAAGTAGTAGTAGTACTACATCAGATTTGATGGGTGATACTTTTACTAAAATTACTGAAAGCATAAAAAAGATTTTCAACTTTATCTACAGTGGGGGGTTGCCAGCCATCCCTTAACATAAGGAATTATAATGATTTAAAACTAAAATATTTATTTGTAAGAAATTTTCTCCTCAAGCTGTGTCACTTCAACCCAGACAAGAAAATCCAATGCTCAAAGGTCACAGGTCACAAGTTCTGTGACTTATAATCAACCAGAAAGGACAGCCATTGGGTTTTAAAGACCAAGTTCACTGAGAAACTGTCTTTTACGTGTTATTTTTGAAAGTCGATCTGCCACTCTGAGTTTCACATGCAGTCTTCTACCCCTATTTCCTGCATTAGGCAACGATAGAGAATAGACGGGGAAACAGTAGGGGTTGGAAAAAGCCATGCAGATGTATGTCACATTGAAAATTAGAATTGATTTAGGACTCACCCATCTTGGATTCACCCAGGAGAGAGCAGAGCGCATCTCGGCAATAGAAGCTAACCATTAGCATTAGCAACTCTTCAACATGGCAGAAACCCTTCAGGCTTGTGATGTTTGTGGAGATAAACATCAATGTTGCAAAGCAAACAGAGTCGGTGGCAGAGTCATGTTGCAGTTAGCCAATCAAAAGCAAGATGTCAGAATATCAGGAAATAATAATGATCGAGACTCCAACCTGCTGTCCTCTGCTCCCTTCAGCTCTGGCTTACTTCTACTTCCTAAAACAGGAGCTTGACAGCACGAATCACAAAGTTAAAAGACAAACTGTGTCACAAGAATGGTTTACATTTATTATCAAGACATATAACTAAATAAAAAACAAACCTCAGTGTGTTGATAGCTAACAATGCTCACGTCATTGTCCTCTGTGTGTCTCTGAGGCTGTAGCTTGGAGTCACACGGATGTTCCAGGTCTGTTTGAAAACTGCTTCTTTTCCTCAGAGGGTGTCCGAAAATAATCCAAGTCTCATGCTTCGGTTGTCTTTTTTCCCAACCTAACTGTTTTATGTGAGCAAAATCACTGAAGAGAGGTGATTTTCAACTTCTCTGATATAAAATGTACATTTTGCTCCAGTTTAGTATAGAGCACAAGTGAAACTCAAAAAATTAGAAAATTCTGCTGAAGTCCATTTATTTCAGTCATTCACCTCAGAGTGAGAGACCATGTAAAGCAGGGGTGTCAAACTTATTTTAGCTCAGGGGCCACATTGAGAAAAATCTAGTTCCAAGTGGGCCTGACTGGTAAATTAAAACCTGCTTTTCTCCCAGTCATTGAGGGCGCACCATCTGTAGCGAGGCTTACAGCGCGGGACCATTGCACTCTGACCCTGTCCAGCGCTCCAACGAGTGCGGTGAACATATCAGCTGCTGTTGATGTATCCGTCATGGGCACCAGCTCAACAAACTCCTCGGTGACGGTCAACGTGTCATCAACTCCGCGGATGAAAATCGCCAGTTGAGCAACATCTGTAATGTCCGTGCTTTCATCAATAGCAACTAAAAAAGCAACAAAGGACTTTACTTTTTCCTTCAATTGGCTGTCCAAATGAAAGTAAACGCAGACTGCTGTTACTTCAGTCCAGCCAACAGTTCATTCACCTTCTCTCTTCTCCGCTGTCCTTCAAATCATTCATATTTTTCGGCATGAAGACTCACAAAATGGCGACGAAGATTATATTCTTTCAGCGCGGCATCATGCTGTGAACACACCCAACACACAGCTTTTCCGTTCACTTCCATGAAAAAAAGGGGGGGGGGGTCCATTTTCCTTGGAACAACCTGCACTCGGTGTCCACTTTTCTCCTTTCTGACAGAGACATCTTGGGCTGAAGCACAATATGTAGACACCGTATGAGATATAGGGGGGTCAAAACAAAGTAGCTTGTCAGAACACCTGTTGCACAGCTTAACACAATGCTCATTACACCATCTAGTGGACGTATTGGGAACAGCAGTTTTGTATTGGAAAATTAGAGTTTATTTTCACTCTACATTGCAAAGTATGAAAATAAAGTTTATACAACCATCTCGCGGGCCGGACTAAACCCGTTTGAGTGCCGGATCCGGCCCGCAGGCCGTATGTTGGCACCCCTGATGTAAAGGCTCAAGAACCCTTTTCAGGTGTTTTGGATTCATTAGCTTATTAGAGTGTGATACTTCAAGTGTATTGAACATTTTCACAATATTCTAACTGTCAGAGATTTTGAATGTGGGGTTTTCATAAGCTGTCAGCCATAATAGCACAATTATAACAAATTAAGGCTTGAAATATCTGGTTTTGCATGTAAATAGTCTATCTCGTGTATTCATTTCACCCTTTCAGTCGAATTACTGAGAAAAATAAATGTTTGCACCAAATTCAAAATTTTCCTCAGTAGTTTAAGCATTTGTTTCCCTTTACTGCCTCAGAGTTTTGTGAGTTGTTTAGCAACTTGGCTGATTTTTCTGCAGACGTGTGTTTGGACTCTTAGATATTGGAAGTGTTACTTAGATGGTGTGAAGCATTTAGTAAATATTTTTTGTGTTTATCTCATTAATTTGGTTTAGGTGAGGCAGGTGCCAGGAATTTTAATATTCCGCTCCTCTGCCACCCTATACTTTGCCAATGCTGAGATGTACCAAGAAGCCCTGGGAAAGAAGGTGAGAACACACACACACACACACACACACACACACACACACACACACACACACACACACACACACACACACACACAGACAATATACCCCGACTAACTGCCGACACCATCCATCTTGCTACATTTTCTCTGCAGCTAACTTCTCTTTTACAAACATTGTTTTTGACACTCTAACAACTGACGAGACGCGTCACCAATTCACACATCACGGCCGTGACAGACATTGTTAAAAATGTCATCCCACTAATTTCTCTTCCCTTTTCTTTCCTTTGGCTTGTTGAAACACCCCACCTCCCTCTCTCCCCATTTCTTCCTCCTTCTTCTTCCTTTTCACGTCTCTCTGATTTAAACATGAAGACAAATTGAGAAAATTTGGACAAAAGGTGCCAAAAAGCTGAGCAGCGGGAGGGGGAGTAAAAGCTGAATTAAAGAGGGAGATAATGGAACGTCTCACTCGTTGAAACGTCAGCATGTCAAAGACACAGCTTCTCTCTGTTACTTTTTCATCTTTAGAGCACTAATAGGAGCTTTTATTGAGCACCCAGGCAGATGCTGAAGAGTTGATTGCAAGGTGAGGAATTCCCACTTAAACAAATGGAGGCCCTTTCTTAGAGGTTTTGTTATGGTGAAAGCATAATGCCACTAAGATAAAAGGTATTTCGATTTATTTACTTTCTGTTTTTCACTGATATTAACTAAACTTGTGACTTGTATGTGTGTAATGAGGAAATTACTGACCAAACACCCTGCATTTATTACCCTTTCTCTTATTAGTTTGTAAAATCATTCTATGTAAAAAGAATTTCAGTTTAAAGCACCATCAAAGTCATCCAGGTTGTTTTTACTCCTGCCAGTTTGTTTTTACAGGGATGGTGTCCCAGTGACGCCAAACAGATGGATATTAGATAAAAATGTGGGAAGGGATCCAGAGCTGAGAAGTGGGTTATGAGAGGAGCAGGTTTAGAGCTAAGCCAGGAAGTCAAGCTGCAGGGGAGGAAACGGGCGGGGAGCGCAAGAGTGAAAAACAAGGCAGACAAGGTGAATGCTAAATAAATAGTGATGGAGCAGGAAGAAGATGTGGTGTTGGCAAGAAGCTAGTGTAACACAGAAATCACTAAGTAACCATACTAATATAATAATTCTATTAGGGTTAAGCTGGTGATAGCTAGTGTTAGCAGGGGTGAGGTACGATCGCGAGTGCCGGATTCCTGATGGTTTTAGATGTTTCTCTGCATCAATACTACAGATTTGAATAAGACAAGAGATTAGCAGCTCCTGCAGAACCCGATGAAGGCTGAGGAAATCATTTAGCAGCTAGAGTCAAGTGTGTCTGAGCAGGGACATATCAAAAACATTACTTGTCTATTAGCACAACAAGGCTATTTGTGTGCACATACATGAGACGTGGCTTTTTGCTTCTTCCAGAAGGGAAGGGGGAGCAGGAACAGAAGCTATAGCTATTCAAATATTAAATTTTCTCCTCCTCCTCTTCTTAATTACATCACCAACCCCAGCTTGAAATTAAATTAAGCTTTATCTCATGATCAGTGGCTGAATATTATTGTTTAACAGCATGCTGATCATTGTCACATCTGCTCCACAAGTTATTTTTGTGTCTAGATCTAAGTTTGTGGTGTGTTTTATTCCCCCCCCCCCCCCCCCCCATCACTAATGCCATTTTCTGACTTAAGTAGGCCTAGATATAAACTTTCATGAGTTTGCTGCTTTTTTTTAGTCTGGCATTGACATCACAAAGATTCTGTCTGCAAAGAAGAAACTGGCAGCCAAAAGAAAGAGGCATGAAAAGAGGAATGCAAAAAGAGCCGAGAAAGAGCCGAAGAGAAACGGGGTACAAATGGTAGGTAAAAATGTTATTTCAGCATAGAAGCACCTCTGTGACACGTCTACTTCCACCTAGCAGGAGGAGCCAGATTTGGAGCAACATAAGAAGATTTCCGTCATTCAGATGGATGATGAGCCTGACCCCTCGCTCCCAAGAGCCATCATCCTTGACCTCAGCCCTGTCAACTTTCTGGACACAGTCGGTGTCAAGACGCTGCAAAGTGTAAGACCATGGGAATCACATTACAGCTCATGTTCCTTAAAAACGGTTTTCCATTTTGAAAAATAACAAAACATTTTAGGCCTTTTTTGCAAACCTTTCCAAAAATCATTACCCATCATCCATGCCTCTGCTTTTTTCCAGCCAAGTCACGTTTAATCTTTTAGAAGAATTTATTTATTTTCATTTAAACACTCTTGCTTTATGCTTGTTTGTGTCTCAGATTCGGAGAGACTATGGAGAAATTGGCATTATGGTTGTCTTTGCAGGCTGTCAAAGTAAGTGTTTTGATGTATTTTTGCTCTATAAATCAAAGTCAATCTGTTCTAAATACGATCTTATATTTGATTCTGGTTCATAAAGGAACTAAACCTGTGGGTTCAGGTGTATTTTAGAGCAGTAAAATGTTCAATTTTAGCGTTTAGTTTAGCATGGAAAAACCTTAACTGTAAGAAAGGAAACGTTGAATTTACTTAACCAAGTTATGTTAAATGGTTCCACTAAACTTAAAGAGCAAGTCACCCCCAAATAAACTTTTTTTTTTGCTGATAAACTAAATAAACGAGTGTCTAATCGTGCTGCAGACACGTGTCGTCAATAATTTGGCACTTCAGTGCATCTTAGTTAAAATTTAAATATTCTGCCTAAAACTGGCAGTGTTGTGCTGTTGTCAGGTAAAAACTCTGCACTGTATTTTAATTTAAATCTGCCACCGCTATTGGCTAAGAAGTATGCTATGATGTAAACTGGTACATTATGATGTCACAATGCTGTTGTGAGCCTGAGTGAGTGTGTATTTGTTAGCGGCTCCGCCCTCTCGGTCTGCCAGGCAACAGCATGTGTTGCATTTTTCAAACATGAAGCGGGAGTGGAGTTAGACTCTGGTAGGGGTTGACTTGCTCTTTAATATAGAGGCACCAGTTGACATAACTTGATGATGTAAATTTAACATTCCCTTTTTGTGGATCTAATTTGCTCGATTCCCAAGCAAAAATGTATAAAAGACTAAAAGGCTTACCGCTTCTCAACAAAGCTGGGATCGTTCCAGATTACAATAAAAGATCAACAGCGCTGATTTGGCTGTTTTGCACTGACAACCAGTTACATGAAAAAAAAGCTATGTTAAAATTGAATGCTTGTACTCTCAGGGTTTAATTATTTATTTATTTATTTATTTATTTGTTTGTCAAACATCTTGGGCAAATAAGTTCTTGATTAAAAAAACACAAAATTGCTTTATTTTTTACCCACAAATCCCCTTTGTCCCGAATTTCCTTGCACCATTTCGCTACAGTTTTACCTCCATATATTTCTGTGTTTTGGTTTTGATTTTTATCTTTGTGTCTGTAGCTGGTGTGGTGAAGAACCTGGAGACTGGTGGTTTCTTTAATGACAAAGTGAAGAAGTCTTGCCTCTTCTCCACCATCCATGATGCCGTTCTCCACTGTCAGTCTGCCAGATCGGCGAGCCGGGACCCGGAGGCACAAGTAGTTGTGGTATGAGTATCATCATTTACTGTGTTCAAACAGCATTTTGATACAAAATAGGAGACTGTGAATGAAAAACAACTTTCAACAGGAGACATTTGCATCATTTTCATCCATAATTTTACAGTATAAAACAAATGACAGTGATCTCCACTTCTTTACCATATTGTAGTATTACCAACACTGTAAAAATGCTTCACTGTAATTATTTTACTGAGATCCAGAAATAATTATCAACATCAAAGAGCCACATTTAACAATTCATATTACTCTACACTGGAGCAACTAGGGTCACCGGAACCAGCTGACATAACTTGGTTAAGTAAAATCAACATTTAATATTTCTAGAGAGCACTTGTTATTTTTTTAAACATGATGGGTCACTCTGAGGCCCTGTCCACACGTAGCCGGGGATCTGCCAAAACGTAGATATTTTTCTACGTTTTGGCCTGGCATCCACACGAAAACGGAGTTTTTTCACACGAAAACGGATCGTTTTCTCCGTTTTGGGTGTCTGCGTGTGGACAGACAAAACCGGAGTTTTAAGGTCCGCAACGTCAATTTCCGCGACAAACAAATGCTGACATCACGTGTGCGACCTGTGTTTACACTAGCCGACAGCATGGATGCCCTCAGAGCTGCGCTCACTTTATCAATTGTCCAAGCGCTTTTTGCTTGTTTGTTTTTGCAAGCGGAATTACTGCTCCTTGCTGAAGACCACAGACGAAGGACGAGGTTAAGAACGGGGGAAGTACTGCCGCCTACAGGTCTGGCATGTCCTTAACAACGTATTTATCCGGGTACGTGTGGACAGAGTTTTTTTTTAAACGAGGTGGTGTGGATGCAAGTTATTGGAAGGGCGGATATTCGTTTTTAAAAAAACCCGGCTACGTGTGGACTAGGCCTGAGTTTCGCATGCAGGCTGAACATGAAAATGGTTTTCTACCCTATTTCCTGCATTAGCCGCCAATAGAAAATAGACACACAAAAATAACTCAAATCTATGACACTGTAAAATTACATTCATGGACTCACCAATCTTGGCTCCGAAATAGGGAAGGCTGTGTAAATTTTTGCATCCAGGAGTGAGCAGAGCACATCTCGGCTAGTTAGCATTAGAAACTCCACAACACGGTGGAACATGTTCATGCTTGTGTCATTTGTAACAATAACATTTAACATTGCAGAGTGAATAGACACAGTGGAAGAGTCACTATGCTGTTAGTGAATCAGATGCAAAATGTTGAAATGTCATGAATATTAATGAGGAAGACTCCAAATCCTGTCGTCATCAGCCCCCCTCACCTCCGGCTAACTTTTACTTCCAAATAAGACCAAAATTGTATATTCAATCTTAGATTAGATTTTTTTTTTTGGGGGGGGGGGGGTTGTTTTGTTTTGTTTATTTTGGAAACTGAGGCTTATCTGTTAAAATGTGGCGGTGGTAGTTTATGGTTTGGGTTTTTTTTTGCTGTTTGCCTTTCCTTCATAAAATAAAATTGAATTGCAAAATTTACCTAACAAATTCTATAAGTTAAACAATTTAGTTATTTTGTTATGCTTTTAAGAAACTCTGCTCATAGCTAGTCCAGTTTAAAGCACAAATTAAGGAAATTATTGAAAATTCTGAATTTGGAACCTGTACTAAATAAACTATAAATCACGTATGTGTTTCTGTTAAAGGATGCTGAAGCATCTTCATGTGTTGCAGGACCCTGATGGTCCTTTATGTTTAGCTAACTAGACTCAATAAGGGGTCAGACAACCCTGCACTGTTCATAAAGTGTCTCTCGTCTAAATTAATTAATAAAGAACATCTCATTACTGACTAAAGATGGAGTTCCCATTACAGCTTGTGACGTAGAACAGATACATTAAACATGGCCTAACAGACGATAATTAAAATGTCTTTTTTTTCTTTAAACCTTCTTGTAAAAGCATCTTGGAAACGATTGTGACATTTAAAGAAATATTAATTTCATAGGTTTTAATGTGAATGTTATCATTTTCTTTGTGCACATTTAAATGGTGTTTTGTGTTAGTTAGGGTTATGCAGCAGGATTAGCTCTCATCCCATCTTCAGTCTCAGTCTGAAGGCAAATGCTTAGCAGAAGACGGTGTGTTGTGCTGATCTCATCATGTTTAAACACTTTTGCCTGCAAAGCGTGTCATCGTGTCATTTCAGCCAGACCTGCTTTCTAGCTCATTTGCAAATCTGGCCTCAATAGGTTTACTTGAATAGAAACCTTTTCATTCTGTTTGTAATTTCCTTCTTGACCTAACACAGACACAAATGATTGGGAGAAGAGTGTGAGATTGGTCAAGGGATTTGTGTGAAAGATTACACACACATGTGCAAACACACATGCATGAGAACAAGCAGGCAGCAGCTGATAAACAGCTAGATGTTTTCCTGTGCATGCAGATCATATTGGTCTACATTTTGGAGGAAAATATGTTTGTTTAGGCATCAATCTGCTTTAAATGGTGCCTCCGTTCCCTTCAGCTCAGTTTAATCACACGGTTTCCTTTTAATTACGGACTTATTTCAGCACATAACAAAGCAATCAGCATCCTGAATTCTCCCCAAAAGCCCCATCAAATGCAATTTAGTCATCTCTGAAGGAAGATTTACTCAAAACTATTACCTCTGAGTCACATTTCCAGGCAGATGTCTTCACTGAGATTGAAAATAATTAACAAAAATATATTTTAAAATCAGTTTTTTGTTGTTTTGCTTCATCTTTTCCTTCTGCTTCACAGGATTTGACAGCAACACGCTTTTGAGTGCTGAGAGAAGCAATGGAGGATGTTATACGCTCTGCTGAAGGATGGCTTCAGTTGTTGTTATCCATCAGAAATAAAGTCTGACTTCCTTTTCTACCTACATCTTTTTACATGTACTTGTTTTGTTTTGGTGAGTTTTACATAACCTGTGTGTGTTTCCTGTTGTGAGATATGAGGACTTGATGAAAACAAGTTAATTACTAGAAAAGGTTTATTGTGTTGTTTGAGAATATCTACTATTTTTCATTGACACCCAAAACGAAAGATCCTGGTGAGATGTCATATTTCTAAAAGTAAAACTTTAGTTTTAGTAGATAAAAAAAATTGTGATAAAATTAGCTAACTTCTTTACAGTTGATAAATATTCTTAATTTTATCATTTAAATTTGAGACACAACAAGAAATCTCTAATCAGACATGAAATAAGTGATGGAATAACAAATAAAAACAGTGTCTATCGTTCTCCTGCACACAGCTCAGCATCACATTTGGACATAAAGACTGAAAAATGTTTTCTCTTTGTTCCTGGATTCATGCCCGTTCTTTTTTATATACCTGCAGGCAATTAAAAGTTGGAAGAGATTTATTTATGTTGATCTTCTGCAACATTGCTCTACCAAAACAAGCCGTTTTTGACTGAAACCAGGTAGACGATGACTCATTGTTTACTGGAATGGAGCACAGTGAATCACATTTAATCATTTTGTAACAAAGAGATTTTCCTGTAATGATTTCTTTTGAAAAATGCGTTTTATGTTCTTTGGCACAAACATTATCATTTTGTTCTTGATGTATTCCCGTAAAAAGAAAGCTCATTAAATTTCTTCTCAAAGCGAACTTCAAACAGAAGTTTGATGGATCTTTTCAAAAGTTCTCATTATTATCATTGTGATTATCTATCATTTTTATCTTTTGTAGTCGTGTTGTAAATCATTTTTGGAGCTCCTGTTATAATTTGAACCAGCAGAGGTCAGCAGAATTAAAATTTGTGTCATGGTCTGCGTCTCCCTCGCGTGTCTCCTTGTGTTCTCCATCCCTCTCTAGGTTCTCCTCATGTGTCTCCTTGTCTGCATCCCTCCTCACGTGCCTCTTTGTGTTCCCCAGCCCACTCCAGGTTCTTCCCTTAGGTGTTCCCTCCAGGTTTCAGTGTTCCCTGTTTGTCCCCAACCTCCCTCCAGGCTTTTTAGGATTTTTTCTTTAGTCACCCTTTATCATTAGTCTTCTGTTAAGTGTTTTTTTCTAGTCAGCTTTCTCCCTCTAGGTCAATTTTGCTTCCTTCCCCATGTTTTAGTTCTGGCCTCCTCCCCTGCTCCGTTGTACTCCTCTGTTGATTGGCCTCACCTGTGTACAGTTACCTAATCACCCAGTCTCTGTGTATAAAACCCTGTCTGGGTCTCCGTGTTGTGTTGGTCCATTGTTCATGTCAGCGTGGTTTTGTTCCCCCTCCTTCGTGGTTTTTCCAGGTCTCCAGGTTTCTAGGCTTTTGTTCCTGCTTGGATTTTATTTACCTTTTGTCATCCTAAGAAAGGAATGTTTTCTTTCACATCCGCTCCTGCCTCACGGGGTCCTACTCCTCCAACCCACCTCATGACAGTTTGCAGCCCAGTTATTGTTTTAACTTTTTTTTTTTCAGATAGATTTTATTATCCTGTCTGGTTGCCTTTAAGACTTCTCCAAATGTGTGAAATCCTGAATTTGACTTATCAAGAGGCAACATTGTGGAAAACTTTCTGCTGGGTATTCATTCATGCAGAAATGACATAACATCTGGACACCAGCTTCAAGAATGTTTAAGGGTTACTTAAAATTCCCTGAAGAAACTTTGTCAGAATGGGCTGGAGAAACGGGACGAACTCACAGGGACGCCACCCCAAAACCAAGAAACCAGAAAGACCAGCTACTAATGGGTTGGTGCCAAAAACTGCAACAGACATTACCTTTGGATCACATCAGAAACAAAGTTGGTGTTTGCTTAATTTCACAGGAACCAAGATCATTTGATTATCAATGCATGAGTTCATGCTGCTGGATTCCTAGCCAACAGGATGAGCAGGGTGCCTAAACCTACAGGAGAAACTACTGAAAAAAAAACAGACTAATGTTGAGATTTTTCCACAATTGGTCCTCTAGAAATATATCCAAATGCATAGTTTGTTAAACTCTTGACGGGAAACAAAAACCTGGTGTGACAGACAGGAGGTAAATTTAACAAAAACAACAAGGGGACTGTGTTCACAAAAGAAAACAGGGAAATCAACGAGTCTCACAAACCCATGAGAGGAATAGAAAAAAAACACAGAAACCCAAAAAATTCAAACAAATTTAATGATACAAATGAAGCACAAACATTAAAAGACCAATTGATGTAAAATGTTTGACGTTAAAACCAACATCTTTTAAAATCTTTCAATATTTTAAAATGTACTTATATATAGGCCTATATTATAGTTAGATTTATTTATTTATTGTGTGTTTTGCTTTTCATGATCCTAAAACACTTGTTTATTCTGACACATGTACATTTTATTATGATTTCTATTTTAATTTCTGGTAATCTCACTTAGATAATCTCATTTTAAGCAAGACTTGTTTCAAAGAAACAAACCAATCATTGTATTGAATAATACAATTAAATAAAAAAAGCATGACACCAACCAGGACAGACTAATGAGCAGTGACGTGTCTGTATCATTGGCCAGAGGGGCCAGGCCCCACCAGATGGTGCCGTGGAGCCCTATGCTTGCTTAAAATTATCAGTGGAACAAAATGGCTTGTTTTAGAGTAGTATTGTATAAAAACTCATTCTCTCACCAAGAAGATTTTCTTTAAAACATTTGTGTGTTCATAAGTTTTTGCAAGGATATTGACAAACTCAGTGTATTAAATCCTCTAGAGAAACCTGAGAAGCGGTAGCCTAGTGAACTAGACCAAATTCTTGCTTTGCAAAGAATGGTCTAGGCACGCTACATTGGAACCTCAGCAGCTCCTACCAGGACTCTGGCTAGCCAATCACAGCTCTCTAGAGGGGTTTCAAACACATAAAGAGCTGTGATTGGTCCATAATGGTGGGCCAATCATAGTGCTCTATCTGCTTAGTGAACAAATCACAGAGCTTTATCCTCTTTGTGGGCCAATCAGGGCACTCTATATGCCTGGTGGGTGGGATGATGCAACAGAGTGAAACAAGAGGATGTCACATTCATTGTCCAGTGGAATGCGGAGATCATTTGAAAGACAACAGTAGAACCCGCCCCACAACCGAGAGCCGTCAATGGAGCATGGCCAGACTAAATAATACATTTATTTAGTCTGGCTTGCCAGGCTAGAGAAGGAGCCCATCAGCGGGCATTTTAAACAGAGAAGATCTATGATCACAATGCACATGCTCAACTCATTCTCAGTGGTAAGCCATAGGGCCCAGAAACTTCAGCCCCAAACTCAGATCAACCAAAAAAATCACACGTGAGCTTATGTTTCTGTTGAGTGGACAGCTGCAGCCATGTTTGTTATGCTGGTTAGCTAACAAGAAGCAACAGAAATAATGAAGAAAGCTTTCCCACTTGATCAAAAGTTAGAGATTAAAGCAGAGGGCTTCAACCATTATTATCAAAGGGCAACATTAGCACTGAAAATAGGAGAGGAGGCTGTAGCGGTCGGACCAGGGGTGGAGGAGGGGTTAGGGGAGGACCAGCTGACGGGAGGCTGCTCGGCTGGAAAGATTCCACCAGTTGGCGATCCCTGGATAAATTTTTTGGGATTATTGACCTTTAACTGAGAAGTTATTAAAATGTTTCTCAAGATGAAAGATCAACGTTTAAGAACTTAACAACACTGTGAGTGACGCTTTATTTGTAATGTCGTGTTTACTGGCTTTTGCTACTTTATGTGGCTCGTTTAACACACACACACACACGAGTGTGCACATGCTACTGTGCGCACGCTATATCACGCATACACTATTGCGCATGCAGTTGTGTGTATGTGCATGCACGCTCATGTGCATGTGTGCATGCTGTTGAGTTGTTGTGCCCCACCTAATTTATGATGCCTGAGACGTCACTGCTAAAGAGCTCCAGAATAAAATGTTGAATATACTTAACCAAGTTAGATCAACTAGTTCCACCAAACTTACAGTTCCTTTCATGTGAAGAGTAATATGGGTTTACTAATGTATAACAATGTGTATTATCCTTTCTATCTGACCACTAGATTTAGTGGAACCAGTTGAAATAACTTGGTTAAATAAATTCAACGTTTTATTTTTTTACAGTGTATTTAGATCCACTTGTTTGGGAACTATTACAACCATAAATTAAAAATGAAAGCTCTGAGGACAGCTACACAAAGATGGCTGAGAGTAGATTAGATATGACTAAACAAGTTTTTAGAATTCCTGTAGGACTAAATTCAGTATGAGTGTTTAGTACAGCAGGAAGCCTCGGAAGTGATAACAATGACCCAAGTTTTCAAGCATGGCAAGCAGTAGGTTTGTTTCAGTATGAGTTACTCATAAATAAACACAAAATAAAGTTTTACTGAGGTAAGTGGCATATGCCTCCTGGTGCATCTCTATAGAAAATCCTGGTTTACTAGAAATGCATTCTATTCTTGTGTTTTACTTTTAGATTGACCTGATCTTGCTTTGGAATCATGCTACATGGCCATGATCCGTCAGCCTGGCTCGTGGACGTAGTTGGTTTTGTTGTTTTCTAAAGTACATTTTTGTCACCTGCACTTTTTACCGTCCAAAAACAATTTCACGGTATATTAAACGAACGATTCTCAAGTGGTTTCAATCTCCTGTCGGCAATCAAGGCTAACGTGCATCTATAGGCAGCCCTTGTTAATTGATGCTAGATAAATGAGAATGGAAGTAAGGGACAGAGCCTCGTTCTTCATCCAGACGGAGCAATAATTATTCATTCATGCCTACGAGGACTACAAAGACATCAGAACTAAGACAGATCTCTACTAAGGTAGCGCGACTCGGGTTGCGAATGACCACAGTCACCAATTCTTGTCATGTGTCTATGCCTATGTATGCATGTCTGATCTCAGAATTGTGGGTACTGAAACTCTAATTTGCCTCTGGGATTAATAAAGTATCTTTGAATTGAATTGAATTCGAATTTGAATGAGATGTTTGAAAAAAGCTGTGTAGCGTGTAGCCGGTGTTATTTAGTTAGAACATGCAGTTTACTTGTTTTCATGGGAATGCCAGAAGTCTGCTTCAGCTCTTGTTTCGCCACATGTTTTATTAAAGTTTTCATCATTTGTGCGTCATTTTCATGTTCTGCTCCACAGTCTGGATGTGTAGGGACTCCAGGACAGTTTTTTTGCTGAGCAGCTGTGGGTTTTAAGAAGACACGTCCATGGTGGTCACGTGACCCTTACGTCAATGCTGTAAATCATTTGTTAGTAATATACTGTACATTTAGCACATATATTACACACCGAGGACAAAACATCACGTGTGTCATTTAAATCAAATATTACCGTGTTTGACACGTGCGATCACAGTAAATATACAGTCACATCAATAAAGTTTTTTCTTTTACGTTATGCATTATGCTAGCAGCTGTAAGACAGTTTAACCCTCCTAGGCTCAAAATAAGTGTTGACAAAAGGACGAACAACTAAGTCGTTCAGGAGTACTTTTGAGTTAAAAAATGCTCATGAAATAAGTTTGTGAACTAACCAGGTAGGTAGGTTTTATCCCTCTGGAGGCAGGTGTTGCAGATTTGCAACGTTAAACCCTACCTACCTAACTGGTTACTCCACAAACTTGTTTCATGAGCATTTTTTAACTCAGAAGTACTCCTGAAGGACTCAGTTGTTCATCCTTTTATCAAACGTATTTTGAGCCTGAAAGTGTTAACTGTTGCAAATCTGCAACGCCTGCCCCCAGAGGGTTAAGGCTATTTTAACTTATTAATAAAGAGGACTTAAATTGGAAATGGGTAGAGTGCCGTCTCCAGGTCAGGCATGAGGTCCTGCC